GGTGACGTAGAAGATTTTTAATCTTCGCCGAACTGCATTGTGGGGAGCATGGCATGGCTTTGCAAGCATCACGAGCATCTATCGGCATCAAAAGTTGAACAATGTTCAACTTTTGAGGCAATGTTCAATCAAATCCCGTTTATGCAAATCCCGCCAGTGCAAGCGCAGCCAATCAAACCGCCTGCAAACTGGGAGAGCCAGACCGCAGTTCATTTCCTCATATTCCAAACGAGATATTACGGTAGCAAATCACCCGGTTCTTTACGACCAGAACTATTTACCGGGATACAAACCGGAGGAACCAGGCATGGAGGGAGGTGGCAGAGACAGTGGGTGAAACTGGTAGGTTTTTCGCCTGTTTGGAGAGTTTATATCCACTTTACTACGTTTTAACATTGCTATTGCTTTGTATGTCGGGGGCGGGAGATTCATGTGATTGGTTGTTGGTCGCGTAGCTAGCAAAAAATCGCCAACCTTCAGACACGCCCAGCTTCAAGATTTTTTGATGCCTGTAGTGTAGACGGGCCGTAAGGCTGCATTTATGTACCAGGGGCCCCAGGGATAGAGTGTGTTTAATGGCCCTCTCCCAACAACCACCATCACAAGTCAACTATTGCCCAGCCCAATTTACACAACCGTCCGCTAAACCCAATCTGCATACAATAATGCATCAACAAAAATGTATGACTGTAGTTTATTTTTGACTGTTGTGACACCAAATGCAAGTTAAACAATCATTAGGGATATAAAACATTAAACATCAGATGTTAAAAAAGATGCAAGGGGTGAATAAAATATCAGCTTTGGAAAGTGGATTGAAAGGTTTTGCAAAATATGTGACTGTTTATTTTTGTCTGGTATTGAAATGGCAATATGAATCACAATACAAACAAATGTAAATGATGATTGTGTGTACCAATCAAAGATTATTTTTCCTAAGTCTGTAGAATATGAATTGTAGGCCGGGACGTCTCTGCTAGGGCTGCACGATTTTGGGAAAAAAATCGAATTGCGATTTTTCTGACAAATATTGCGATTGCGATTTGCGATATTTGTTTTTAAGCGACCCAACGGAAGTTTATTGTAAGATGCGGCCATAACTCAAGCTAGGAAGATCGTATCAACATGCTCCCGTCTCTAGCACCCCGGCAGCCCGAGCTACGAGTGAAAGAACTAAACTTACATGAAACTTCCGTTGGGTTGCTTTAAAGTCAAGCTTCAGTTTAAGATTCACCCTGTAAGAGATGTAACACATGTGATGGAGCATTACTAACCTGACTCAGATGGTTTGTTTCACCAAACCATCTAGGAAAGCTCCATTGGAAGCCATTTGGAAAGGGCAGGCACTTTAAAAATCTGTCACAATCTGTCTATCACCTTCTATCATGGGCCACTTCTGATTGGTTAACAATGGCTGGTACATGTGGAGCACAGCACTTTTGATTGGTGTGGATGACTGACACACAAGAAAATTAAAAAAAATGGGAAAAAAAATTCGGAAAAAAATGGGAAAAAAATCGCATCATTTCAAATCGCGATTTCGCTTTAAAATCAATTAATCGTTCAGCCCTAGTCTCTGCAACACCGAAATATTTAATTTAGAAGAATGGTATTTTGACATGTATTTCCCATTTAACAAATATTGCATATGGATTACTATATGGATGTTGGACTAATCTATTCCGATAACATTCCCGAAAAAAGGTTCAGCTGTTATTAAGAGCTGCTTTTCGCATGAGAATATATAGGAATAAAGTCACCCCGCAATTGACATGATCTTACTGCAACAGAAGTTATTTCATAGGGATATCAGTTCAGGGCACTTCAATAAATAACACCCCCTGCTGCAAGTGCAACCCAGCCAGCAGCAGGTCAGGCAGCCCTTGGAACAGACTACACGCGGAGCATACAGATACGGTACAGATATTGCAACTCCAAAAGGCTCAGGCTGGCTTACTGTGGGCCAATATCCATCTCTCTCACACACGCAGACAAACACACACAAAGTGAGGAGAATAACCGCACAGACATTATCATCTTTTTTATCCTTACTATAAATCCCCTTCCATTCAATGATGGATTGCTATATGGGTCCTATGGGTGAATCTTAATATGCCAACTAAGCCTGAATTATACTTTGGAATCACAGTCTTACCGGCATACAGTATTAAAAGTGATTAAGCTCTGCACATTGACTCACAACATGACGGTAGTGCTGTGCGTAGAGACAGCTTTGTGCTTTTTACAAGTACAGTACACTAGAAGTAATCATGTTTACATTCTCTCACATTCTGTGTTTTCGCGACACAGAGCAGTAATAATGTTGGCAAAGAAAAGGGACCGCACTGCCAATCTGTACTAAATGAAGAAGACTGTGTTATTGGGAGCAAGATGACATCGTAAGGTGAGCTGGTCTTAATAAATGTGGGGGAGGTAATATACTAGCTAAAGAAGCTAAAACACTGCTTTCTTTTCTATTTATTTCAGTATAAACTGCACCGACATTGGGTACAACACTTCACTGCAGATGCATAAATCAGTGTTCAAGTGACAAATCTTTCAGAGGGTCAAGTGTTTCAAATATCTCACCCAGCTCTATATTCAGCTGTTACAATCTATGGTAATCTTAAAATTTGAAATTCACAAAGAAGAGGATTTATTTATTTAAAAGTGTGAAGGTCACAAAAACAAACCATCGCAATCTCCAACTTGAAACCCATCTATCACGTGGGCAAATCGCAGATCTCACTATTCTGCTGTTCTAACAAACTCACCTGTCCTGCAGAGTGCGCGCATAACAAGGCCAGCTCTCCTTGTACTCGGCCTCCTTCTCCTCCTTCTCAGGTCTGGACTGATGGCCTTGCATGAAGCCTTTCTTCCATGAGGGCCGGCGGTCTGAATTCTTAGGGCGATAACTGGCAGATACACAAAGTGGTTTATAATAGATTAAATCAAAAATCAAAAAGGGTTATGGAGGTTCTATTTGTTTTTGTCTGTACATGTTTGGGAGTTAATGAGTGTGTTGTGGAGCAGTGTTGCTGTACCTCGTCATCTCCACGATGTCCTCCAGCAAGAACTCTTCCACTGGGAACGTCAAACCAGGGATGTGGATAACTGGACAGTTTTCTAAATGTTTGGAAAAGGTATACATGAGAAGGAGGAACAATCCAAATCAATATACAAAGCAAGAATATTAATAAACCAACTTTAGTTTGTCATTTGGGGGGCTGCATACCAAAAAACTTTGAAAACTTCTCTGCATTGAGCGTGGCACTCATGAGGATGACCTTGAGGTCATCTCGAAGGTTAAGTAGTTCCTTGACGATGACGAGCAAAACGTCAGATTGCAGGTTCCTCTCGTGGATTTCGTCCAAAACCAGGTGGCTGATACTAGACAACATTCTGACACACACAAACATCCGGAGAAATTGTTAAAGTCTTTGCTTTAGATCAAATGTCTTTACCTCCTCATCGCTCCTGACAAATAGCAACTCTGTATCTAATATGTCTGTCAAATAAAGCTCATGTTATTAGTTTGGTCGTTATCTATTTTTTTTACATTTTGCCGCATAGTTACTACAAAGTTAAGCGTATATGAAAAAAAAACATTTGTATGTTAGAGGTTTTAGTTCAAGTCGGTAGTTATACAGTGCCTAGAGGCTGTTTTTCCACATATTTCAAAATATGTCAATATTTGTCTATATGCAGTTAGTACATTACATATTTATATAGGCCAAGTAAAAAAAGCTTCACACAACTTTGTTTACACATTTTACATTCACATTTCCCTGTAGTTCCGTCATCAGTCTGAGATATTGATATCTTTTGGGTTTAAACTAGAATTGGTGTATATGCTGATCTGTAGATTCAGGACCTGTAATGATGAGTCAAAGGGGGGTGTGGGACTGAAAAGGTTAGAGAATCACTAATGCGATGGCTGGAGACAAAAAGTCACACCAAGTCTGACAAGTGTAAACAAAGCTGCAGTCTGTAAACCAACTGCTGGGTAAAAATTCCATAATGCCAGCAAAAAAGTTTGCAGCATTTTGTCAGACATTGGTAATCCTTAAAGGTCCCATGACATGCTTCTCTGGTTATTACCCGTCCCCTTGTGTGTTATGTAGCTTTTTATGCATGTAAACGGTCTGCAGAGTCACACACCCTCAAAGTACACCCTGTAGCGCAGGGGTGCCCAACCTTTTTTGAACCGAGAGCTACTTTTAAAGTTGCCAGTCTGCCGAGATCTACCAGTCCAAATAGAGAGTCGTAGCCATTACTGACAGCCTACTACCGGGTAAATACACACTTCTACTTGTATAAAACTGACCTCTGTACGATGAATACTTCATAAAATACTGCAGATCCTTTATCTTACCTCTTTCTAATCTACACACATACAAGTATTTAACTGAAGCTACACAACAGTGTTGTTGATACATAGTTGGAGTTTATTCACACGTCACATACAACAGTGGGTAATGTTTTCAAGAAACATTGAACAGTGCGGCCACATATGACATAGGAAAAAAAGAAAAGACTGCCATTATTTAAAAATAGTGTTGCTACAAAAGTATAAATTAGGCTTACTAATAAAACAACTCAGATCTGAAGCTACACAGGAATCTGCTGCCAAAGTGCAATAAAAAAGACAAAATTAATAGAATCAAACCCATTTTTTGTTGCATTTTAGTAGAGTATAAAAAGAAATTCCTTTAAAATAGGATGCAAGCAACACTAGTTTCTTGAAATTGATAATAGACTATAATCAATTTAAACAGAACAGATCTTAATGATTTGCATTCTTATACCATTGTGTACAATAATTACAATGAATAAGTTCAAACAAACTAAAACTTACAGCTGATTAATAACGGTATCTAAATTGAGTTTTTATTATATCAAAAACCTGTTGAAATGCTACTGTTATTTTTTACTGTCCCCCCAAAAGCGCGTCGGCAGCCTCCATGCTTCTTTCACAACTTCTCCGTCTTTGAAAGACTTCATGTGTTTCTCAAGGACGTGACTGACGCGATAAGATGCTATGGTAGCAGCCTTGATCTTGTTGTTGGGCCTGGTGAAAATGGACTGCTGTGCATTTAGCTGTCCTTTCAGGTCCCTCGCCTTTTTGGGAGCGTAGGGCAGAATTAGGAGGGAATTCCGTCTCGTAGCGTGTGTGCACTGTTTTGAAATGCCGCTCCTAAATTACCCTTCTTCG